AGAGTAAATCTTAAAAGTGAAATCTTTGCATGAAAGCTGATCGGTCTCAATCTTTTCAAATTCAAAAATCTGTATTAATGATACATTATAATTTGTTTCGGGCAGCCGTTGATACTTAACAAATTTTTCTTCTAGCTTCTCTTTGGAATTTGCCTGCTAAAATATACTTTAAATTAATTTTCTTCAAAGTATATTTCCTTATTTTCACAAATGGGTACACATTGCTTTAGTGCAAAAGATGTATTTCAACTCTGTCTACTTTCCCCATATTTCTCCATATAAAAGCCTGATCCATTGCAGAAACTTTCAGAAAAATAACTTTTTCATCTGACAAGAGGAAATATTGGTTTCCGATCAGTTGTTTCTCATTCTCTCTCTTTTGAAAATAGATAAATAAGATTTTGTATTCACAATATCTTACCAATATTTAAGAATGTTTCTTGAAAATCTTGAAAAATACTCAAAACAGCAATGGTAGATTGATTAAAGCATTATCAACTAAGATCACATTTTAGCATTCCAAATTAGTTTCAAATGAGAGTTTACTTACAATTTACTTAAATACAAAAGCTCTTCATAATATGATCGTCATTAGTATGAAATTCTGGAAACTGAAAAAAGATACTCTTTTTGATACTCGCTTCAAAATCTGCACCAATTTTTTTTATTTTTTTTTATTTTTTTATTTACATCTGTCCGTTATTTCTGAGAGTTAAAAATATTTACAAAATCAGAAAGCTAAGAAGATATGTTTTAATCTGGTGGATTTAAGAGTGGTTGTAGGTGATGTACTTGAACATGCTCTGATTTACTGGTATCTGTTACTATAGATAGAAATCTAAAACTTGTGTTCTGAAAAATTGAATTAGGTTCTTAACAAGTTACATTGCTCAAATATTGTCCTGATAAATTATTCCAAGGGAGTTTTCACATAATCTTCAAAATTACCAAAGATGGAAGACATCATGAAACTGTTTTTTCCATTACTTGTTTGCCATTTACTGCTCTTCACATAATGTTACTGTAGCTGCAATTATCAAAAATATAAAGTTGATCAGTAAATAAATTGTCTTCACCTTTTCACATAAATTTTTGGACACGTGCATTAAATGAGTACCTCCATGAAAGAATGTTGAATGTGACTATTTTATCAAAAATAACTGGAAAAGCGTTGAATATAAAAACCTTCATATTATTGCTAAACAAGCTTCGTCAAATTCAGGAAAAATTTACTTAGTCTGTTATTACTGACAGGTTTTGACATTCATGGCAAAAGGTTGATGTGGAGAAAAGATGGCTGACTGTATGGATGGCTGACTGGTTGGAGGGATGGAATAGTCCATTAGAAAAAGAAAGAATTTCCTCCTATTGAGGTAAATGGAAGAAAGTTGGTCTTTGATTTGCAACATGCAGTTGTGTTCTTGGATTTAAAGAGAACTACTCTGAAATAATAAAAATAAAATGCAATGAATATTCATAATAAATATTTCTTTGTTATTACTATATATTGTTGTAATTATTATAATAAATTATCATAACAATAAATAAAGCCAAGAATCTACTTTAAATGTCGTATATTTAAATGAAATTTATTTATGTATATAAAAATTAATTGTGCTCCCAATTCAATAGAAAATGTTTGCTTATTCAAAAGAATCATCCAACATTTTTCCATGGGAAAAAATTGATTGCATGGGACAGTAATTCACAACAAACAGAGGCAGATCCAGAGGCAAATTTTGGTAGGGGAAATTAAAAATGTTTTGGTTGAATATGTCATATTACAAATTTTATAAAATGTTGCAGGCTACATTCAACTCTTGCTGCTCTATGGTTTTATTATTTTTAATGATAATCCAAAAATATTTTTACATGAAGGTTTCATGATCAAAAGTATTTTATAAAATAAACAAGATTATTTTCCCTACAATGCAGGTGATTTGCTGATTGAGAGAATTTAAAAAAAATATAACCCATAATAATAATATTTTTATTTCCTGTAAAGTTGTCCAACTGCCACATCCAACGTTCTTCCATGGAGGTACCCAAATAATGTGATGTGGTGATGTCAGTTTCTAGATTGAAATTAGCGCACACAGTGTTGCTGCAGAAACTGCTTGGGTGGCAAGTAAGACGCTCATGACAGGAGACATGAGCATTGGCAGAGGGAATGTTACATTAATTCAAACACAGTTCTAGTATATTGTTATTTTTTGTAGTCCTTAATTTGAGTTGATGGAATATTATTTTAATTTACCTCTTCCATTTTAAAACATTGTCTTTTCAAAAAGTGTGTGTACCTGTACCAAAAAGTTCTCAACGAATTTGAGGAGCAAATGACTCTGCAGTATTGTACCTCGACAAATGGTTTTCAAATTGAGACAACTTTGTTGTAAGGTTTCCTGGAAGAATTCACTCCAAATAATTACTTGGTATTTCAATGCTTCTTAATTATAATTTAAAACAGAGATCCTTAATAACAAGAATCATGCAATTTAGCTTAAAATTTTTAGAACCAGAGTCAACACTTAAAAAAATTCTGTGTATTTTTATATTTTTAAATTTATTTGCTACATGTTTAAAAAGTTTTATTTTAGACAGATATGAAATATTTATTATGATATATTTTATTTTAGATAGATTTGAAATGTTGAAGAATGGTAATAAACCAATAAATAGTACCAATATGGAAATTAGTTTAAAGATCATTGTTGAATGACTGTTCTGAGAACCAATATTTGAATATTTTAATTTTTAACCTGTTAAGATTCCCTTTAATCTAATTTCATAACCATTTTTTTTTGTAATATGTATAATATTGTAATAATAATAGATGCATTATATATTCAACTGATTTAAAAGTTATCAGTTGGAGGCACATGGATGCAGTTGATTGCAGTTGAAAAGTTAAACCATAGAATAACATCTATTCATCCATGGTGGAACTAACATTGTCTTACATAATGCAATCTGGCTGTACTTAAATAGGCCCTTCGGTTAGCACTTAAGTCACGAGCTGAGAGAGGGACGCTGCCATCCATTAGTGAGCTTTGTTACGACAAATGTTTGGCATTAATGCTTCCAATTGGACCTCGCCTTCCAGTTCTGAAGTTGAAGTGTCACTGTTTAAATCAAATATTAAGATCCTAGGACAGTTCTGTTTTTCAGTTTTCTTGGTTTAAAATCTTTGAATGGAGCATTTCAAGTGGCGGAATTTTAAAAAAAATTGCAACAAATATACTGTCACCAGCAAGAACAAAGCAATCTTGTTCTAATGGTTCCTGTGTTCGTTCCATTTCAATCTTGTTCCATCAAACACTAAGAAAACATGGTCCTCGTCTTCCTCCCCCTTAATTCGCACCTTCGTTGGCATCGCCCTGCTGGTTAAATTCTGGCCCTGCCAGATGGAAGGCTTTGCTGACTAGTAATGTGTTGTATAATAGTTTTTTATTGTGCAGTTAATCTTACCTGCAAATATGATGAATAAAGAACCATTCAGTTTATTAAGGCAAAAAATAGATTTGTAAAAGCAGAGGCAACTGTTACATTTGAAACTGATAAAGTAATAATCGTGAGGATGGCTTTCACTTAATTTTTCTTTTCTCTAATGTAAAATTCCAGGTAATGTGATCCTAGTACAAACATTGTCAATAATACAAATAAATAAATATAAATGATTTCAGATCATAAATAATGAGAATTTTGGTTATTTACAGACAATAAAATTACATTGGCAGTAATATTCCCTGAATATTACAGTCCATAATGGTTGACTGAATTCTTCAGTAATACAAAATCTGCCCCAAGAAAATGTAATTAATCTAAAGAACGTAAACTTTGAATTCCAAATTCATAAACTTGGAATGTTTACATGCATAATTAACTCTTATCAATTCCAAATGATTGAAACTAATCACAACACTTGTTTTACAGTGCATGGCATTTGATGAGATATTCGGCAATAAAAGTATATTTTTTTACACTTTAGTCAATGAAACGTGTAATTCTGAAGAAGAAATTGATTTTTAATGATAGTTAAAATTCTCTATGTACTTGGATATTTCCAAGGACATTGAAAGTTTTAATTCAAAAGTTTCTAAAATTCATGTGATAAACAAAACTGTCATGCTGAAACCTTTTGAAGTTCATTTAATGCTAAAAGTAACAATAAGCAAATTGTGAATTTGTATATAATTTGAATATAAAATAATTGTTGAATTAATTTGTATATTTCAGAATGATATAATTTGTATATTTCAGAATGAAACCTAAAGTAGTTAGATGTTTTACTTCCAAATGTTTAATTTGTCTATAACCAAATTATCTTGCTATTGTCAGTGACCCAGAGTAAAAAATTTTAAGAATATACCGTTGTATAATTTTAATTTTTACTTTTCATTGAACTGATTCATTACTATGAGCAAATGCATAAGTTGAAATTAATCAAAAGCTTACTAGCTATTCACACTTGAATAATGAGGTTAAGAATTTTTATTTGCACCATTAGCTATCAAACCACTTTGGATCTGTGATTTTGTTGTTTAATTTTTGGTGCTTTTCTCTGTCAGTCCAAAAAATTGCCTGATTAAGGAAACATTTCCATTAAATATTTTCAACAAAATAATCCTATGTTTAAAACAGTTTATTTTGATATGTTACAACATGTAATTGCTCAACATGAATATTGACAAATAAGAAAATATTTATTTTCTAATTTTATTGAAACTTCTGTATTCTACCAGTCTCAAGTAATACTTGAATAATGAATAATTCATGAATTTTAGTAATGTTGAAGAAAAGAATGTATGAAAAATACAGGGCCATTCTTCAATAAAAATTTATTATTTACTGTTATTACAAGATGGCTTACATCAAGTTAAGTTCATTTGTGACTTGAAGAGAATGCTGTCCTCTAACACGACCTGAAAATTAAAGGAAAATTATGAACCAAAAATTCAGTAAAAATTCATTATTGTCCATTATAGATACTTAAATGTTCTACCAGTTTTGATCATAGTGCTTTTCTAAAACAATTACACTAATTATATTTATGCTGTCCTTTATTTTTCAGCCGTTTTTTTGGCATTCTCCACATGTGGACTCTGCAGAAGTAGCAGCGGCCATGCGACGTTGCTGAAATAAGATAGGAATTTCTTTTTTTATTTGTTCTTGTAATCGAGACATGTACAGAGGCAATTACTGACCTTTTGAATGTAGAAAAACGCGCATATTGCAGTTACGCAAACTAGGAAGTAAATGGCGCAGAAAAACATGAGCTGCAGGTACGTCCGGACCTCCTGGGGCTGCAGGTGTTCCCGCCGCTCTCGTAACAAGCGTTGTCTGCGCGCGCGCGCGGTTTCCCGCCCGCGGCGCTCGTTTCGAACGGGGACCCAGGCGGCGTCAGCCTTCCAGTCGCGCGGAGCCCTCGATCCCATTTTCACGCGCGATAAATTACTCCAACGATCACACGCGATAAACTACGTTAGCCTGCCGTTAGTCAAGATTGGGCGGCAATTGTTAAATTGTTGGCAATTGTTTCTTTGTTGGATGTTGCTGATGTGCTGCTATTTCTTATTAATTATCCTTGACTTTACCATAATATTAATTACACATTGACATTCACAAATGTCAAGCAAAGATAGTTATTGTACAATGTTTAACAATAGTAATTAAATAATTTCCAATTTGCTGATAGCATTAGAAGATTAGGAGTAGTAAATTATTACATGTTGACAGTATTAATTAAAAGAATTGCTGGGATGGTTGGTACCTTGTAAACATTCAGAAAAATATATTTTCTAGACAGCATTTTTTTCGGAAGCCCTAAAATAGTAGGTATTGTTAGACGTTGGGTGTAGATGAATGACTAAACAAACAGAAACTGATTCGAACTTAAATGTTGCAATTTAATGTTAACTAATTGAACTGGCTCAGTGTAAGAAGAAAAATCTTCTAAAGCTTAGCCATCTTAACACAATCTAAAGATTTGCATTATTGTACAAGATTATTTCACACTATTATTACATTACAATAACATACAAAAACCATTGCTGTCTTAAAAGTTTAAATTAATTTAGCACACATTAATACTTAAATTTGCTTACAATAAGTTAGAAATTAGGAAAATAAAATTGGAATAACTATCATTAAACATTATATTGATTAACATATTCAATACATTTAAAAATAACAATACCTTTGACATCAATGGAATTTATGCTGAATAACATGTTATGAAGTTGCTATTTTATGGGACGAATATGTTTTTATCAATAATTGTCAAAATTTCTTGTTTCACCTGTACTTATAATCCAACATGTATGTGGGTAGAGGTAGGGGTAGGGATTCCATAATTTAAGGAAAAAAGCACAGAACATAATTCTTCCCATAGTACATCACACACATTCTTAACAGTTTCGACTTTAAACTAAAAAATGTACACGTATTAAGTTTCTCTTGCAATAGTACAATATGAATTGATAATTGAATGCAAATAACTATTGCTTATACATTATAGTAGCTCAAGCAGTTTATATGCTCTCCAGAAATAAGGTGGCACTGGAGGAACATTTAGAAGGACTTATTAGCTGCTTTCATATTAACTAGAGCTTATTGAACAGTTGTCCTGCAATGCCAGAATGGATCTTCGATAGTGGTCTCGTTATGTACACCCCAGTGGCGTAACGTTCGGGCCCGCAGTGTGGACGGCCCGGGTAAAAGAGGGCTCGCTGTTAGGGATTTTTTTTTATTATTTAAGTTTATTTATTTTTTTATTTATTTAATAGGTAATTATTACAGACAAATTAGCTTACTTGATCCTAGGTGGCTAGGCCGAAGGCCTTTAACCCATTACAATACCTACATCCTTTCGCGTTCTAATCTTTCGAATTCTGGTATTCACCCCAAATGGTCTCTCCATCACATCAAAGCCGCGGAAATGAGACCATAAGGTACGGCTCGGGAAAAAACCCCTGAAGGGGGAAAAACCTATCGTCAGAAGCAGAGTACATTCTAATCTATCCGACGTTTATTTTAGCTATTTTATTTTCTGGCGCGGTCGTCCCGCTGTCTCCTTCCAGTGCTTGGCCACTTATTTAAGTTACTAACACTACTTGTGTAAGCTTTACACTTTAATAAAAGGAGACAAGGATAAAGGTGTTGCGGGTGGGTTCCTACTTATTCCGTTACGATACTGGGTTACCCTCTGATAGTCCGCAGGTCATAGAGTATAAAAATTATATACTTATCATTGTTACTAATACTTATCGATTGTTTTATAAGAATATAAATAATTTGTAAAACTTTAAGAACTTTAACGGTCAGTATTTCATAATTCATGTGCCATGTTTGTCATTACAACACTGTTTTTGTTTACTACTAAATATGTTCTTACCACATTAATTTTGTAGGACCATTGTTATTTTGTTATACTAAAGTAAATTAGATTATTTTAGTGTAACGTTGGTGTATAATTTAGTTTTGAGGGAAAAAAAATCTTGAAACAAACTTAAGTATTGCCTAGATTTCACGCAAAATTACGCGAAAAGTACTAAAATTTTGGAAAAGTTGTACATGACCTTATTTCAAAATCTATCTTTAAGGCACTTAAGGTTTTGAGAGAAAAAATTCTTCATAATTGTAGTTGTATGAACGCCGAAAAAGTTTGAATTTTTGCAACTTTCGAAAAATGTTTCAACGATAATGAGACCTGCACAATTGTCTTAAACGTCCTTCACACTATCAAAACAAAAATAAGAAAACAACAAAAAATAAAATAAAATGTTTTCGAACGTTTCGAAAATGTCTGGCAGGCTTCATGTAAAGTACCAACGCCCTCAAATTACAATATCGGTTTTAAATTCAATTGCAGGAGAAATATCAGATCAAGTGAGGAATTTCGATTGGGGATGAGGGGATTCGATTTCGGCTGAACGGTTTAGCCGCTGGGTGGACGGGTGGACGGGTCGTCATTAGATTTTTCGGTAACAAGAACCTCCAAAACACGATTCTGGCTACACCACGTGTTAGACTCCTTCTCTATATTTAGCAAGTGGATTTATCAACTTTTTTACCTGGGCCTTATAATTTAGAGGATTTATAACGAAAATTAGCAGATTTTTCGCGCAGTATTATACAACTTTTTTATTACGTAAGAGAAAATACAAATCATGTTGTGCCGCTAGAGGCGTTAGACTATATGATGACGTTTTCTATATGAAACTAATCGAAGTCTGTTTTCATGCAGAAATCGTGGAGTGTGGACTGCACACGTTCTGTACATTCATTCTGCGCAAAAACTGTTCTACGTAAAAGGATCTTAACTGACGACTCTGTGCCTCCGCTTTACCGGAGGATATACAGGCACGGCTGGCCAATGATGAGCCAACCGTCTGTGTTGTGAACGACCTCTTCACTTGTTCTAGTCTATTGTTGTGTGTGAAGGCTTATAGAAGGCCGGCTCTTTTAGAATGTAGGGAGTATAATGTAAAGCGAATAGGAGCAATTTCACGAATGATTATCAAAGAGTTTTGTATGTGAAATTAAAAGAGAACCTCGAGATTTGATAAAACTATTACGTAAACGAGAATCTTCTTAATTAGCTGTATTAAACTTGTTACGTATTTGCTTTAATAAAGGCAACGTGATTCCAAATAATATTTAAATGTGATTAATTTCGAAAAGACTTTGAGTTTAACACAATCGATATGAGATGAAAATTTATATATATATATATATATATATATATA